GATTGTAAAAATTAGTGCTTGCCAAAGCAGGATATGAGCAATTTTATAAGCAACAAACCTTCTCCGTTAAAGTCATAAAAATATAAATACAGAGGGAGCATCAGTAAGAAAGCAATGGCTGGATTTCCAGTGAAGTGGTCCTGGGTACAGGGACATGCTGAACCTTCCAAAGAGCCTCTGTGTCAGCAGTTCTCAAGTATGAGCAATTTTGCCTCCTAAGGGACATTTAGCAATGTCTGACATCTTTATCAGAAGCACTACCTACGGACATTGAGTGGGTAAAAGCCAAGGACTCTGCTAAGCATGCTGTAATACACTAGCCAGATTTCAAATTGCTCGTTATAGAGTCCAGAAATATCAAAAGTGCTGCAGTTGGAGAGCCCATGCGGACATGCGAGCAACAGACAGAGCAAGCCCTTTCAGGCAGGGGAGGTGGATGGTTCTTCCCGCATAACAGGCACTGAACTACTCAACTCACCAGGTACTCTCCCACAAAAGTATCCTATCACTAGGAAAGGCCCAGAGGAGATAAGCAAATTGCTCCCAGGTCTGAACTCCTGGGCACTGCTCTAATGCTAGGGAGCCAAGGGACCTGCACTCTTAGTAAACAGTTTGTTGTGAGATAAATGGAAAGATATAGCTGATAAACAACTAAAGCAACTGAGGTCAGTGGCCTCCTGCTAAATGGCTGGTGTCAAGGAGCTACAGAGAAATGACCAGAGTTCGTGGAGGCCGTCCTGCTAGCTGCGTTACTCATTTACTTCTCCCGTTGGCTGACTGTCCATCCCTTTGTCTATACAGGTCATGGTCCTGAAAGTCCTGACCTGGGACTGTTGTTCACAGATGGTTTCTTGGCTAAAGTACTACCAGTGGTCAAAGATATGTGTTGGTTTGTTACTGACCTGGTTCAATGACCTAGAAGAATGCAAAATGCAGAGACGAAAAAAGAACTAGCATTTTTAGACAATAATAAAGACAGGCTTCACAAATCAAGGATCCTCAAGACCAGGATTAGCAGTAAATAGGATTCAAGCTGCTGACTGGGACACCAACCCCTGTGATGGCCATTGGCCCAGAGGGGTGCTCAATGACAATACACTTTCATAGGGAAGATTGTTGTCTAGTTATGGTGAATGCATGGATTCCGTGTGATTTTTACTTGTGGAAATACATGTATTTGGGGTGAAGATATTCTAGAAAATTTTGATTTACATGACTGTCATAACCATAATTCATGTATTTTTCAATGCATGAATTAAAATACATAGACTTCTAAAGGAAGATTATTATGCTGAAATACACCAAAGATATTTAAAATGTGTTTCCATAACACATTAATAGTACCATGGAAGCAAGAATAATAATCATGTCTTTAATCTCCCTCATTCTGGAGGCAGAGGCCAGCAGATCTCTGTGAGTTCAAGGTCAGTCAGGTCTTTGTGGCAAGTTTCAGTAGCCAGAGCTACAAAAAAGTAGGGGACAAACACAATATTTTGTGATAAATAACATAAAAATACCATGGCTGAGGTGACGAGTGATGATGGCGCCTTTAATCCCAGCACTAGGGAGGCAGAGGCAGGCAGATCTCTGGGTTCAAGGTCAGCCTGGTCTACAGAGTGAGTTCCAGCACAGCCAGTGCTACATAGAGAAACACTGTCTTTAGAGACAAAAGCAAAACAAACAAAAAGTCTGTGGCTATAATGGATAACAAAGTCTCAGGTACTACAAATACTGCTGAAGTGTGTTACTGGCTTCACAACTGAAAGATGTGTTGTTTCATAAAAAATTAGGAAAAAATAGAGAGACTCTCTTCCCTAGGTGGATCATGCCTTGAATTCTAAGCACAGACTATTTCTACAGGAACCCCGAGTGGCTTTCATTGATGTCCAAATCCTCTGTCTATCCTAATTCAAGCCTCTTGTGTCTGGCAACTCAGACCATCACAGGAATAGCACCCATAGGAATAGCTTCCTCATTTTTAACAAGGCTCCTGGTCCCCTGGGAATGAACCCACCAGTCATTATATATGAACAGAGGAGGGCATGAGGGGAGATGATGAAAGGAACAACCACTTTGGATGTCAGAGGTTGTTTTTGTCCAAGGACTTTTAGCCTAGCCTCTTAGCACCCCTGGCCAGGTGCCCGTGTTGCCTCTGTCAGCTCATCTTGGACACCACTCAGCTACCAGAGAGTTCAGGATTTCCAGTTCTCTCACATGGGAAGTCATGGTGCTCCAGGTTGCATCTTTGAATCTGTTTTATCTTCTGTAAGTGAGAGAAGGCGAGTGAGAAAATCGGATGAGACTGTGTGCAGCTCTCCAGAGAAGAGGCCTTTGCCAAGGTGGGTGGGTGGCAATCGCACTATTTGTCCCTCTCACTTCCGCCCCTGGCAAAGCTGATGACAGGAGAAGTTATGTTCTTTGTTGCAGGGACATTAAAACCCACAAATGTTTTGCATTCTTCAAATAATTCCTCTAGAAATTTGATTTATAATAAGATTAGTTCAATACTCAATAACTATCAAGGTCATAGGCAGACTTAAACAAACACTATAACTAATTGGATTTACAAGTAAGAATATCATTAAAATGTCTAAATGTGTCAGTTCATGAGTGCTCTCTGCTTCTCCCCATAATTAGACATTTTAAATTATTATGTATTTGAGAAGCAGAAACCCTGCTGCATGGACATTTATAAGCAATAAATCCATTCCTACACAGACACACACACACAGGAGGTTTGGGGAAACTAAACCAAACTATTAAGTAATTTAAAAACCTGTTTTTAAATACATAAAACTGTACCATAAGTCAGCTACCTCCCCATGCTTCCCAAATTTTAATATTTCTCATTGTTTTGTTTTTTGTTTTTTTTTTTTTTTTTTGGTTTTGTTTTGTTTTGGTTTGGTTTGGTTTGGTTTTTCGAGACAGGGTTTCTCTGTATTGTCTTGGAGGCTGTCCTGGAACTCGCTTGGTAGACCAGGCTGGCCTCGAACTCACAGAGATCCACCTGTCTCTGCCTCCCGAGTGCTGGGATTAAAGGCGTGCGCCACCAATGCCCGGCTTTCTCATTGGTTAATATCTGTTAGTAGTTTTTTATTTCCTTCTTTGTAAGTCTTGTAGGGAAAAAAAATAAAAACAGCCCATTCTTTCCTTAAGAAGTATAGAAGATATACTGAATTTTTTAAATATTAAATATACAATTGCACCTGGTGGTGGTGGTGCACACCTTTAATCCCAGCACTTGGGAGGCAGAGGCAGGTGGATCTCTGTGAGTTCGAGGGTAGCCTGGTCACACTCTGTAGACAAGGCAAGGAACTTACTAGGCCTCTAGGCTTTGGTGAAAGACAGGGCTCTCCCCAAAGGTGATGCTCTCTCTGGCTCTCTTCCCGGCGCTGCCTTAGGGACTAACACAGTGTTCCTATGTGGAGAGGGAGCTGACCTCTTCTCCTCCTGCTCCCCGTTGTCAGAAGTTAGAAGGGCAGGGCCGCCATGATGTCAGACCTGAAGCAGCCAGAGAAGAGCAGCAGCCTGCCCTCTGACTCTTCTTCACTTCCTCCTCCTGGGTAGAGTGCCACTCCACAGGTGCCAATGCCCACAGTAAGCATGGCAGGCTGAGGGGAAACGGAGGCATGGGTCCCTGCGGAAGGGTCCAGGAAGCCCTTCTGTTTGACATTAGACATGGAGCTCCTCCCTGGTCACAGCAAAATTCGTATTCCAGTTGGCTCTCTTCTGGGTAGTTTGGTCAGTTTTACAGTATAAAGTTGTTTCATTTTGTCCTGTTTGTATGTACCTTTGTTTTTTCTTACAAGAAGTTAGTGTTGAAAACAGAGTTTAAAGAGTTGAGAGACACCAGGCATTCGTTTCCACCTTGCTCGTTGACTTACTGGGATCTCTCACTTCTGTCTCTCATGATGAATAGGGTAGCAATACTCTCTGGGCCAGACGGAAGGGGGACTCGAAAGTATTTAAAGGTAAGAAGATGGAACCGGGCGGTGGTGGTGCATGCCTTTAATCCCAGCATTCAGGAGGCAAAGAGAGGTGGATCTCTGTGAGTTAGAGGCCATCCTGGTCTAGGGAGCAAGTTCCAGGACAGAATCCAAAGCTACAGAGAAATCCTGTCTCAAAAAAAGAAAAGAAAGAAGGGAGCAAGTTCCAGTACAGAATCCAAAGCTACAGAGAAATCCTGTCTCAAAAAAAGAAAAGAAAGAAGGGAGCAAGTTCCAGTACAGAATCCAAAGCTACAGAGAAATCCTGTCTCAAAAAAAGAAAGAAAGAAAAGAAAAAAGAGAAAGAAAGAGAAAGAAACCACACCGGGAATGTTTTCTTAGTGACAGCTGCACTAATGCTTCCCTCTCCTGGATTCTGAAAATAACTGGGAGTCTGGCAGAACAAGAAGACTGAGCTAAGCTGTGGGCTGTGACCCCTTTGGAGGGATTAAATGACCATTTCACAGAGCCACCAAAGACCATCAGAAAACAGATATTTACATTATGATTCATAAGAGTAGCAAAATCACAGTGGTGAAGTAGGAATGAAAATGATTTTATGGTTAGGGATCACCACAGCGTGAGGAACTGTATTAAAGAGTCTCAGCCTTAGGAAGGTTGAGAACCACTGCCCTAGGAGACTGATCCTGTTTTGCTCTCCAGCTTCACTAAGTGATGAGACATAAGATTTTACTGTGAGTGTCTGTCTCTCAGGTGGGTGAGCTCCTGTGTGAGGTTAGTGCCACTACTCTGTGCAGCTCTGGTGGCTCCTTCTGCCCCATGACCTGCGCCAACTTTGCCTCCACTCCATTCCTTTCCATCGATATTTTTCTGAATCCATTCCTGGTTGGCTTTGGCACTATCTTAAAAAAAAGCAGTGTGTGACATAAATGACTTGTCTTTCCAACAAGCAACCGAGTAATCATTTAGTATCTATTTGTCTACTCAAAGTCTCACATTTATCAACATGTGACTGTTCTAATTTGAATTTTCTTTCTAATTTTGAACATCCAGGACTCCATCTTTTATTGTACATGAAAGAAGCATCCCTGTCACATATAGGAGGAAGAAAATGTTGTTATTGTTGTTTTGGGTGTCGGCCCTCCTGTTCCTCTGTGCTTTTCTGTGGAACTATAAAGGACAACTGAAGATAGCAGACATCACTGACAAGTACATCTTCATCACTGGATGTGACACAGGCTTTGGAAACTTAGCAGCCAGGACTTTTGATGAAAAGGGGTTCCGTGTCATTGCCGCCTGCCTGACTGAGTCAGGGTCAACTGCTTTGAAGGCCAAAACCTCCGATAGACTTCACACAGTGCTTCTGGATGTCACCAACCCAGAGAATGTCAAGGAGACCGCCCAGTGGGTGAAGAGCCATGTAGGGGAAAAAGGTAAGACAAGGGGTCTGTGGGATAGGGTGGTTGGGAGAGGGGCAAATAACTAAAGCAAAATAAAATGAGTTCAAAGTTTAAACGGCTTTCCAAGAAAATGTCTCCTAAGGCCCAGTAGTACATTTCTTAATCTCCACAGGGCTTCTGAGTGAGTCCAGTGTGAGTGTGTGAGATATGCCCCCATAGACTGCCTTGAGTCTCAGCAGGTGAATCTAGAACATAAGTGAATGCTCTAACTGTCCCTGATCTTCTCCGACAACATCTCAGCCAAGGGAGTTGCAGTTCAAGTCTATAGGAGAATATGGAATCAGCATTCAAATGACCACTTGGATTACCTGGGATCGACAGGCATCTCAACAGATGGGTTCCGGAGTGCACATATTGTTAGTGGTCGGTAGACCAGGACCCAGGGATGAGGGTAAGGGTCTTAAGGAGTCCAAGTGTTCCCCTGAGAAGTAGACATTCCCTCTGCTGTGGATTTTGTTAGATGACTGCTCTCTGAACTGGAAGGGTTTTGCCAGCTTTGAAATATTCTCATAGAAGGCGATAGCAGGGTCCACACAGGAGAAAAGCAAATACATCTTTAACTCTACGCCCCTGAACCTCAAATGCAATGATTTAATAAAGCTTCTGGACAAACTTGAATTCCAGTACTTTTAGCAATGCTATATATTTCCAGTCAAGAAACAGCCAGGTGGATAACTTCTTTTTCTAGCAAATTTCAGCATAAAGTAGGTCCCTATAACTTCTCCATTCATACAGAATATTTTATAAATATTCACCAGCTACACCATCTTGCAAGGCAGGAAAACAGACTAATCTCTACATCTGAGATGAGAAATCAGAAAGTCTGCCTCAAAAGCATAAAAAATATGACACTTGGAACCAGAAATAGAATAGCAGTGAGACTGAAGCCCAGAAACGAAACAAGAACAAACTCAGCTTAGTCTCTCACTCTGTCAGCCACCACTTTCCCAAAATGCAAAAATATTTCAAAGCAGGAGTGACTGGAAAGAGAAAACAGCACACTGTGTAAAGAAAGAACTGTATTTGCATCAGAGATGACCATAGAAATGACATCTCCTTCTCTCCCTCTCTGCTCCAGGTCTCTGGGGGCTGATCAATAATGCTGGTGTCCTTGGAGTGCTGGCTCCCACAGACTGGCTGACAGTGAATGACTACAGAGAGCCCATTGAAGTGAACCTGTTCGGACTCATCGACGTGACACTGAATATGCTTCCACTGGTCAAAAAAGCTCGAGGGCGTGTTATCAACGTCTCCAGCATTGGAGGCCGGCTTGCATTCGGCGGAGGGGGCTACACTCCATCCAAATATGCGGTGGAAGGTTTCAATGACAGCTTAAGGTAAGGTGAATTAATTGACTTAGCGTATCCTTGCAGGTAACACATCCTGGACACTTTGTACATAAGAGGTATTTTTTTTAGCATTTTAAATGTTTCCACTTGACCAGGGTTTACACAGCTCATAACTGGTAGAACTGAGATTTGAACCCAAGTCTATGTTTAGTCTAACTTTTTTTGCCTTTGTATGAGTGCATGATGTCCAGAGTGGGGTAAATTTATAGTCAATGGGTTAATTTGTCCAGTAGAGAATCATCCAGGGTTGGTCTTGCTATTGTTATTTCTGTACGGTGCTAACGGGCTAGTATCACCTTATTTATGCCTCCAGCAGAAAAGCATTAGTTGTCAATGGCTGCCCAATAACTCCCACCAGGGCTCTGCAGCTGCATCCGGTGGGAGAGGCAGGAAGGGGACGTTTGACTTGTCTTACCTAGAACCAGAATTTGTGACTATCAGTTCAAAGTCCGTAAGTGTTTCTTCAGTCAAAAAAAGAAATGTCAGCACATTAAAATTGTGTCAAGAAAACAGAGATTACTTAAAGGGCATTTTCAAACATGTGGGAGGTGTGGAGAGACATTCCAAAGGACAGAAATAAGGGCTAATACCAAAGGGCATTGCCATCCAAGGACTAAGGGATGAAGAGACACAGAAGTTTCTAGAACCCGGAGACACAGAGACTGACAGCTCCAGCTAAAGGATGAAATCACCAGTGCCGACGCTACACGAGGAATTTCTAATCCCACTTCTTGTATTCCCACTCCTGATTCTCATAGGCTGTGTCCACCAGGTGCTGGGGTGCAGGTGACCCTTCTGGGATAGAGTGCAAGCCAAAGGGACTGGGGGAGTAAATGGAAGTCAAGCCAGTTGAGTCATGCTGAGACAAGCAAGAGAAAGGGCAAAATTAGTATTGGCTGGCTTTGAATTTCCCCATTTGTTTGTTCAATTGGTATTTACTGAAGGCATATGTTAGAGTTTATACTCTATACCACAGATCGAGGAGTAGTTTAATAATAAAGAGGACAGATGATCCCACTGAGGTTAATAGAGGCCGATAACTCCATTCTGCCACATGATCTAGGTGTCAAGTCTGAGTCTCCTAAGAAATAAACTCAATAGAATTCTTCTAAAATGTTAACATGAAGTTGAATAGCCTGGAGAACTTGTTAAGGATGCATATTTTGATGGGGGTGGGTCCGGGATGTGACCAGAGAGTTTTTCTACAGAGTTATCAGATGCTGTTGATGGCTCAGAGATCATCACACTTCAAGAAACATCATCACGACCTCTCTCAGTCTCAGCTGACCTTTCATTCCATTCTACAAAAAGCAGTATTATAACAAAATGCCAGTATTTAAGAAGATATTTTGGCCGGGCGTTGGTGGCGCACGCCTTTAATCCCAGCACTCGGGAGGCAGAGGCAGGCGGATCTCTGTGAGTTCGAGGCCAGCCTGGTCTACAGAGCGAGTTCCAGGACAGCCTCCAACGCCACAGAGAAACCCTGTCTCGAAAAACCAAAAAAAAAAAAAAAAAAAAAAGAAGGTATTTTGACTGGAGTGTTTGTAGAATCTGTTGAGTAGCTAGACATTGTCTGAAAGTAATCAACAGAAAGTGTCTATGTCTTTATGGACCATAGAACTGGTATTTGACATGGAATTTTTCATGCATCCGAGTCCAGTGGTTGTTTCAGGATGTCTACATGTATAGAGAAGGATTGAGGGACAACAGTCCAACAGAGAGAGGACTGGGACTCTGCAGCTGCATTTTCTCAGCAAGCATATTGGTTAGCAACATGTAAGCCTCATAAGTTTAGCAGAGAGGCCTGTATCCTGTCCCTGTGTCATTTTCATAAGTACATAGAAAAAAGATCTTCTTAAATAACTTCTTGGAACTGTCGTCTCTCAGATTCAACAGACATCAGTTGACAGATGAATAAAATATAATTAGGTTGAAAAATCACCTTTAAGATTTTAATGTAGCATACCTTTCAGAAATCTCTCAAGGTCAAGCTGCTTTACATTGCCAGTAAATTTTATTTCAAATTGTGTAATAAATAGTTTTGTTGCTAAAAAGCACAATCTGGAAAGGATGGAATTACATTTTAAGATTACAACTAGAGTTTATTTAAAAAATACCTTATGATGAGGAATGGGATGTAGCTTAGTGGCAGAGCTCTCGCCTAGTGCTACAAGGTTCTGGGTTCAAGCCTCAGCGTGGGTAAGATGTCTATAACATGAGCAATTGCCTCTTTATACATTCCTGGTAGAAATACACATTAGATTTAGGAACTAATTATTCATGAACTGGTCTGCAATACATTGTTCAGTTGGCAGGAAAGAGGCACCAACATCTCAAACCTGCGACTCGGTAAATATGTAGACTCGAGGCTGTCTGTAGTGGTGTGAAGGGAAAGCTTACTCCTCAGCAGCACCGGGATCAGGGTGGCATGCCAGGGATCGTGATACTAGATCTTCCAACATCCTCAGTCATCTTCCAGCATCCTCAGTCATGCTGCAACCCTCATTCCAAAGCCCAAGGTAGACTTGTCCATCCAAGCCAGTCACTCTCCCATTTCCCCATCAGATACTTGGAGCATGGAGAAGAAATAGCCTTAACCCAAATGCTTATCAGTTTGACAAAGAAGAGTGTGGCTCAAGGAGGCAAATGCTGACTTACTGTGGGGTTTTTCAGAGGCTTGTTCCGCCCACATCCATTTCTTGTTCTGAGTCACTTGGCCACTTTGAACTCCAGTTTCTTCATCTTTGGAGTGACAGGGTAGAACAAGACGCTTGTTGCCAACACAGTCACTCTGTGATTCTATGAAAAGATTTATGAGAAAATAATTAACAAGTAGTAAACATTCTCCAAATAAGTTTGAATGAAAACAACAACAGCAATAAAGACTGGAGATGTGATACAGAATGCTTGCCTAGAATGAAGGAAGCTCTAAATTGGACCACAGCTCAACAAAAACATGTTTTCTTAATTAAAAAAATTCTTTGATTGTTCTTTCACAGGCGGGACATGAAAGCTTTTGGTGTGCATGTCTCATGCATTGAACCAGGACTATTCAAAACACAACTGGCAGATCCAATAAAAGCAACTGAAAAAAAGCTCGCAGTTTGGAAACATCTGTCTCCAGACATCAAGCAACAATACGGAGAAGGCTACATTGAAAAAAGTGAGTTTGGGGTTAGATGTAGTGTCTTCTGGGATTCACTGTCCTTGTCGTCATGAAGGAGTCATGATGGGGATCTTTAATGTGGTTATTAAGGCCGGCACCCCCCTCTTGTTTCTCTGAGTGATTGTAAGTGCTTACTGAGAAACTAAACAATGCCAAGGTTTATACTAAATATTTCTGAATTACATCATTTATGCCTCAAAATAAGTATTGGAGTAGTGAATAGAGGCTTCTCAAGGTAAAATGACCTCTCCAAGGTGATCCAGTATCTCCTGGTCACGCCAGATATGAAGCCAGGCAGCTTGGCTCTCAGAGTCTTCATTTCTATGCAAATTTCATCTTGTTACTAAACACAAACCACTCATTCAACATTGTCCAGGGATTTGGGGAGGTGACAAAGATGAAGAAGATTGTGGTCCTGACAGTCCACTATAGCTAATTACAAAGAGTAACCAAGTAAAACTGTGAAACGTGAGGCTACACAGCATCAAGAAAACAGATCATCTTTAGGGCGACCCAGAGAGTCGAAAGTGAAGCTGATGCTACAGTTTCTAATTTCCCCAGAATATAGAGCAGGAAAGGGACCCAGCTGATCGAGAAGCCTTAACAGGACAGGGCAGGTATGAATAAGGCTTTAGAGTCCAGGAAAGAGTCATTCGGGTGGAGGAAGCTGTCAGGGGTCAGGAACACGTGGAAGGGGAAGAGGAAGAAGACATAAAATGAGTCAAAAAGACAGAGTCAAAGGGAGAGAATAAAGAGATTACACAGTGATGATTAATACTGTGAATATTTACAAAGCACTTGTCATCATTCTAAGGGCCTCACACACCCACTTTCATTTATTTACAATCCCCAAGCTCTATGGAGTAGATGTCTTATGTCTTTCACATTATCAAAATAGAGACATAGAAATGACATGCCTGAAACTTCACAGCTAGATTTGAACCCAGCATAATTATGCCATGCATTCTTGGGCACTCTAATACAAAGGAAGCAACATAGTGAAGACTTCAACCAAAGTTCCTCTTAGAGCCTTCCTCCCACCTCCAGCTTCCTGAACCTGTAATGCTTGCTCAGTAGTCCTCAAACACTGAGCCTATGCCTTCAGTGGGGCAAGGTCCTGCCTCCCTCCATGTCACACAACCCCTCAAAACTGTGACTCTGCCTCATCACTAGTCACAAACACAGAGAACTATGACAAGGTTTAATATCAACTGTTTGAATGTAAACCCAAGACTCAAGTCAGAAACACATATGGAAATTTTCAGGATGACAGACATCCCCAAGCTCCACGTCAATATAACACATACACAACAACAAAAAAAAACCTCCTGAAGATTTCACTAAAATGTCTGATTGACAAACTTGCACAAGAATGTCTCTCCGTAAGCTTAGAGCCATCACTGTTAGAAGCTGTATTTCTTACATCCTGAATCTAAAGGTTTTATGTAGGTCAACTTAACCCTGTTAGACTCAATACTTTAGAGACAAAGTCTTTAATTTAAAAGAGTTTTCAATATTAGATAATTGTGGTGATACTGACAAGTACCTATGACTATATCACAAAATCCCATCCAAAATTTTTCTATTCTGGCATATAACAAGTGTATGTATTTATGAGGCATAGTGTGATCTGGATACCAAGAGTAATAAATAGATCAAGGTGGCTGGTATATTGATTTTCTGAAACATTTATCATTTCTATTGAAAATTGTCTATAAAAATTGTCCTTACTAAGAAATACAAAATAGCACTGAGCCCAATTTTATATTGATTTGTCATATTAAATATTTCCAAGTCAGAATTTAGAGGTGAGCCAGACTTACAGCCCCAACATAGACCAGAAATTTAAAGTCACCTTTCTTTGTTTCCCAAGCTGAACAACAATGTAAACTAGTCATTAACACTTAACTACATTCTTTGAACAACTTGTGGCCGCTTAACAAATACAACGGCCACTTGTTAGGTTCTTTGAATAATTGGGAGCCTGAAATCTAACATGGTAGGCTTTCCCCCTGAGAAGATATGACTCGGATATGTTTTAAAGCCTATGAATATCATATGACAGCTCTACTTTGCGGTTGTTTTGTTTTGTTTGTTTTTGAGAAAGCCCATGGCATTTTCTATAATTGCTGTTTTGGTTTACATTCTCAACAACCACATGCACAGGGTCTCTTCACTCCACACCCAGGTCAACACTTCTTGTCTTTTGTCTCATAGACACTAATAGGTGTCTATTCCGATGTCTTGCTGTGGGTTGGATTTGAGCACTGGCTCTATTCATGCACTGTGAATGACAGTCACACACACCCACTGTCCCTCCCCCAATCCTTCCCCCCCACCCCATCTGTGGCCATTTGAGAGATGTCTGTTTGGATTCTTCTCATGCTTTTTTTTTTTCTGTTGAGTTGTTGGTGTTCCCTTTTTGGATATCAACCTGTTATCAACGTATGGTTTACAAATAATTTTCCCATTCCATGAGTTGTCTCTTTGTTCCTTTAACTGCTTCCTTTGATGCACAGGAGATTGTTAGTCTGATGCAGGCCTGTGCCTCCATCATGGATTTTGTGGTTTGTGCTGTAGGGGTCATCTTCAAAACTTATTGCTTAGTCCAATTTCAAAAAGCTTTTACACTGTGTTTTATAGTTTTAAGCTCTACTTTAAAGTCCTTGATCTGTTCTGAGTTGGCTTTTACATTCAGTGCCAATTTCATTCCCTTGCCTGTGGAGAGTTAGTCTTTCTGACACTTTTTTATAAGTGTATCCAGGACTCCAAATCATTCCCAATTCATTTGCCTCAGGGGGATCTTAGGTCCCTGACAACTAGGAGACTTTTCACCTCTGATTAAGGACAGAATTGTAGAGATGTCAATGTTGTGAGTGCCCTCTTCATCCCCATATGCACACATGGACACTCATGCACAAGAAATGTGTACATAGTCATGTTTCCTACAACACAGTACTCTCCAGAAAGGATTAGGAATAAAAATCATGACTCCCTCAAGGCAAAGTCCTCATGGACACTATACAGTATCCTTTCCCTACTGCCTTTAAAGAAAGACCTTAAAGTCCTCAGTCCAGCAAAATCATTTGAAGACAGATAGAAAATTCAAATGCTAAGACTTTATGACATGCCTACTGCCTCAGGAATTTGTATGTAGAACCCAGAAGTCTGGCTTTTCATTAGTCCTCTAGGAGATCCTATTGTCCACTTCAGTCTGAGATGAGACCAACTAGCCTAAAGAAGACATCCATCATAGCATCCTCTCCTGGAGAATGGAAACCCATTCCAGAGAGCCTCAATTACAGTGGCAAATTCAGAATAAAACTCCCTGTCATGTGTCTTCCTGTTTTCACCCCAGCCTCCCAGGCTGCTTCTCCTTTTTCTGCTGAAGAGTAAGCACATTTTTGTCTCTATTTATAGGTCTACACAAACTGAAAAGCAATACATCTTTTGTGAACTTGGACCTCTCTCTAGTGGTAGAGTGCATGGACCATGCTCTAACAAGTGTCTTCCCCAAGACTCGCTATACCGCTGGAAAAGATGCCAAGACATTTTGGATACCCCTGTCTCACATGCCAGCATTTTTACAAGACTTTTTATTGCTGAAACAGAAAGTAGAGCTGGCAAACCCCAAAGCAGTGTGACTCAATGGACCATAAATGCCTGAGGCTGGCTGATTTCAAAGACTTACCATTTCAGTCTCAGTCTTTACCAGATCCAACGTGGACTCATTTAGACCATGCTCCTGTTTATAAAAGAGGGAGTCCCATGGTCCCTTAATAAGGTCAGAGAAGACCTATCATACATGCCAGTCTTGCCTGATACTAAAACCTTGGTAGGATGAAAGGAAAACTGAAAGTCTTCTCCATCCAAAGTGTGTGTGCTGCAACCTGGCCTTTGCTGGTTCAGGAGTCCAGATTGTTAAGCGTCGAAACATTAAGAGATAAGAAGTCTTTTGTAAGTGGACCTGATGGCTTTGATAGCTCACAGAGAAGAAGGCTCGGGCTGGAACACAACTAGGTTCTGATAAACGTTGACGGGAACAAGAAAGTGATAGAGCACTCGGTCACACAGAGCACTGGTGTGAACTGAGAGGCCATGAGAGACAGAGTGAAGAAATGCAAATAGAAGGACAGAGGAAGGGAATGAAAGGCAGGGACTCCAACGCAAGCTCCACACTCCGGAGGGACACAGAGGATGTGTGACAGTGACTCCTGTGACATCATCCCAATTGATCCTAGTCCTGGAGGCACTTTACATCTGGCTTCATCTGTTTCAGTCAGCCACTTCATGGTGGAAGCTCACCAGCTCTGTTGGCCACAGCCACTCCTCATTTCAATGGCCAGGTTCTTGGCTCCATTTCAGAGCTTCAGACTCTGTGGCTTTCTGCCCCTTAACTTTCCAGATGTCCCAAGGCTACCAAGATCTGCAGAATCTGAAGGAAACTCCTTTGCCGATCTTCTCACCACACTAGTCCAATTGCTCAACCTTCTAATTCTGTCTTTCTTTTGCCTTTTCCCGAGATCGTTTTTGATTTTTCTTATTCTTTTAGGTAGCTACAATTTGCTGTTTCTTCCAACCAAAAACTAAGTGACATGAAGTCTCCTGTTAAGATCAAGCTTGCCAACCACATTATCCATGTTAGCAGTGTGTCTTAGCTGTAGCTCTGCCATCTGCTTCCCCTCAGAGAAGTGATGGGGGTTGTCCTTCTGTATATATGTTTCCCTTATTGGTTGATGAATAATACACTGTTTGGAAAGTAGAGGCAGGAAAATAGGCAGGGCTAGGCAATGAGGAGAATGCTGGGAAAGAGAAAGGCAGAGAGAGGCGACTGAAGAAGACACCGTGTAGAGACTGGGAAAATAAAATGTGCAAGGTGTTCTCTGGTAAGATAAGGCCATTTGGAAATACATGTTAGTAATTATGGGTTAATAATTAAGACAGAGTTAGCCAATAAGAAGCCCTAGACATCGGCCAACAATTTTATAATTAATACAGCATCCATGTGTTTATTTGGGGCAAAGCAACTGTGAGACCAGGCTGGAAAGAAACCCTAGCAACAGAGAAGGATCAATAGACCACTGTGGTTACTCTTCATCTTGTTCAGAGATACTGTGAAGGAGTCTGCCACTATAATAAGTCATCCGGAGCCCAGGGGTCACCGAACAAGCTAAGTGAGTGTCGAGAACAAATTACTCATTTCTGTGACTGAAATCAGGTCATGTCTAAACTGTCCAGACTAAAGAAAATCTCTTCCATTTAAAATATCTTCAAAAACCTTAAAACATCTGTGGGCAGCTCATCCAGGAAGAGTCTAAGAAAAACACACAAATTTCACCCTTCTCCATGGTATTAGTCCCAACAGTTCTTGGTGGTATAAGATATTGCAGATTCCTTTACTGATGTGGAGAAAATAGCCAGAAATTCTCAAAATGAAAAAAGCTCTGGTATATACAAGTGATTTATTTCAATTTTAATCTAAGTGACCTGAATTCTTTCATGCCAAAAAAAGACGATTCCGATTTGTTTTGTTTTGTTTAACTTATTTATTTTTATTTTATGTGCATGGGTATTTTGCCACAGATGTTGGGTCCCTTGGAACTGGAGTTTACAGACAGTTGTGAGCTGCCATGTGGGTGCTGAGAATTGAACCCTGGTCCTCTGGAAAAGCATTCACTGCTCTTAACTACTGAACCAAACAATTCTGATAGTTAACATTTTTCCTTAACTCTGTGGTTATTTTCACCCTTCTTTTAGTTACTGGAAGTCAAATATCCAGGATCTCACACAAGAGCCCACTCTGTACCCCTGAGCTACACCACACCCCAGATTGTAATTTATTTTTAAAAAAGGAAAACACTTATAGTTTCCACCAGAGTTTATGACGCATCGTGCTAGCCAAAACACTGCTGCCACCTGTCTAACAATTTCCAAGCTCTCTTGTTGGTACACTTGCCAGAGAAAGATCCAGATCCACAGTCCAACTGGGTGCCTAGAAATAGGATATAACCTGAAATAGGTCAGGCAAGGACAACCCAACCTTCTGTCATTTTGTGTAGTCAGTGACTTCTCTTATGTGATCCACTTTGTTGGGTGTTAGTGATGCACACCTTTAATCCCAGCACTCGGGAGGCAGAGGCAGGCAGATCTCTGTGAGTTCAAGGCCAGCCTGGTCTACAGAGTGAGTTCCAGGACAGCCTCCAAAACAATACAAAGAAACCCTGTCTCAAAAAAAAATTTTTTAAATAAAGTGACCCACTTCACTTCTGTTAGAGAAATTGGAGTCAGAAAGGATTCCACTATGGATCTGTAGCCTACATTGTAGACAAGAGCCACTCAGTCATACATAGGGGACAGCCACCTAGGGGGAAGTTTACTCTCAGTCTTTGGACTGGTTTTTCTCCTCCATGGCAGTTATAACTTGAGTACATATGAACCAAAATGGCGGAACCTGGATTATGAAACAGACAATGCAGAGAAGAACCTTCCCACTAGAGGAAGAGGAAAAGCAATCCAGCTGGTGATTTAGTGTATGCTCTCTGTGTGTCAGAGTCTTAGTACAGTCGCTATGTGTTCCAGGAACAGTTTAATCTAAACCACGTCTCAGTCAGCTGTGCATTTTAGACATGGGGATATGAAATCATAGCCAAGTGGGTAATGTTCTGCATTTTAAACTGCTAATCATCTTGGTCCAGGACTCACCCAGACAGCCTCATTTGAAAGACCATATGATATAGTATATTGTAAAGAATCCAAGGCTTCCAGAGTCTTTTGTAAACATTGATTCTGACTGTACAGAAATGAAACATTCATTAAACAGTCTAACATCAGCCTTGCCTACTTAATAATGAACATGAGTACAAGTGGCACAGAGTTTTGAGAAACATAGATACACTCATTTTTGTTTTTATAAATTCTTCTTTTATTTCTTCTCATTTATGATAAAATGAGCATTTATACACAGTGTCTCCGATCTTAGGAGGATTTTTAACTATATTTCTGAATTTCTTTTACCTGTTTCTCTTTTGACACCTCTTTTATTCATTGTTATTGTTGATTTTGTCTGCTTGTTGTTACTGCTTGAGGAATTTATTTGTGATCACTTTTCATTAATCTCAATAACGAGCTTCAGTCACCTTTCCTAACCCTCATAAAAAGTCTTTTAGATTTTAAAATCAGACAAAAAGATAAACATCAAAGATTAGCATATTAGCAAGAATAATCATAAAAATGAGCACACAAATACCAAGTTTCTTATTGCTGTTTTCTTTTATTTTTGCTTTTGCTTTGAATAAAAATTTTGGCAGACTGTCCTGGTCCCTGTGGTGAGGGGTAACCTAGGAACTCTAAGGACAGAAATCTCCAGAATGAGCTCAGAGCCTCCAGCACTACCACACTGCAATCTAAGAAAATGCCAGTCTGTTGATGAACCTTATACTTTGACAGGAAGAGATCAAGTAACACAGTGTCTGTCTCAGGAACATGTCCTGGGGAACATTCGCAGTGTCCCACGCTTCAGCTCCCACTCTGCTGAAGAATGAAAGATCACCACTTTCTAATTGCCTTGCCAACTAGCTC